AAGACTATACTTTCTGGGATCATTTCTATCGTTTCCAACTTGAGGTATGCGTTCCTTAAGTGGTCAGTCTCACCAACCATGATGATGACATTTGATGTTCTCTTCAGAGCGTGATGCAGGCAGGAATTAATGATGTTCTTCATGATTTCTGCTATTGATGATCGTTCTTTACTTTCTTTTGGAGTAACAGGGAAGAGAACATGATCAGAGTGGTTGTTCAAAACTGTTAAGTATAATTTTTGTGTAGTAAGTTACATCTCACTCAATATGTAGATTTTTAAAAGAAACTTTGAGAATGAAATACCATTAGACAGAAAGAGAATTAGAATGAAAGGGAATCTTTTTCAGTAATTTCATTTAAAATATGACATTAATCTATGAGATAGACTCATTACATCCAAAGACAGATATTTCAAGCTTTTATTTGTTATAATTGTAATAACTATGGCTTACAGCTTATAAATACCACATTGTTTAAATGCTATGGGCAACCCGAGCATTGCTTCTGACCATGTCCATCCCTTCATGGCCACCATGTACCCATCCTCTGATGGCTACTTCCAGCAGGATAATGCACCATGTCATAAAGCTCCAATCATTTCAAATTGGTTTCTTGAACATGACAATGAGTTCACTGTACTACAACGGCCCCCACAGTCACCAGATCTCAACCCGATAGAGCATCTTTGGGATGTGGTGGAACGGGAGCTTTGTGCCCTGGATGTGCATCCCACACATCTCCATCAACTGCAAAATGCTATCCTATCAATAAAGGCCAACATTTCTAAAGAATGCTTTATTTATGTATTTCACTGGTAAATAACAAAATGTCTGAATTGTTGAAATAGAAAAAAATTGTGATAAAATCGGGATTGTAATTTTGCAACTAATAAATCATGAAATGCCACACCCTGGGCTGCCAACTTACCATGGTGGAGGGGGTTGAATGTCCAAATGATCCAAGGAGCTAAGTTGTCTGAGGCTTTATGCCTCATAGTAGGGTCACCCATGGCAAACAGGTCTTAGTTAAGGGATCAGACAAAGAGTAGCCCAAAGACCCCTTATGCAGAAAAAGATAAATGGAAACAGTGTTCCCTCACCCGGACACGGGTCACTGGGGCCCCCCTCTGGAACCAGGCCTGAAGGTGGGGCACGTTGGTGAGTGCCTGGTGACCAGGCTTTCACCCATGGAGCCCGGCCAGGCACAGCCCGAAGAGGAAACGTGGGCCCCACTTCCCATGGGCTCACCACTTGAGGGAGGGGCCAAAGGGTTCGGGTGCATTGTGTGACGGGGGCAGCCGGGGGCAGGGACCTTGGTGATGGGGTGGCTCGGGCATCTGATTAGGATGCCTCCTGGATGCCTCCCAAGTGAGGTTTTACAGGCACGTTCAACCGGGTGGAGACCTAAATGGTAAATGGTAAATGGCCTGTATTTGATATAGCGCCTTCTAGAGTCCTGGAACCCCCCAAGGTGCTTTACAACACAATCAGTCATTCACCCATTCACACACACATTCACACACTGGTGGGGATGAGCCACAATGTAGCCACAGCTGCCCTGGGGCGCACTGACAGAGGCGAGGCTGCCGAGCACTGGCGCCACCGGTCCCTCCGACCACCACCAGCAGGCAATGTGGGTTAAGTGTCTTGCCCAAGGACACAACGACAGCGACAGACTGAGCGGGTCTCGAACCTGCGACCTTCCGATTGCGAGGCGAGCGCTTAACTCCTGTGCCACCATCGCCCCACCTAAAGGGAGACCCAGGACACGTTGGAGGGACTATCTCTCTCAACTGGCCAGGAACGCCTTAGGATTCCCCCAGAAGAGCTGGCTCAAGTTCCTGGGGAGAGGGAAGTCTGGGCCTCTCGAGTTAGGCTGCTGTTCCCACGACCCGACACCAGATAAGTGGAAGAAAATGGATGGATGGATAAATCGCGATATGATTTTTTTTTCCCATATTGCCCACCCCTACTTAAAGCGTGGATGGGGAATAAAAGTGTGCCCCTCAAATTGTTCCAGTCCTACCTCTCAGGGAGAACTTTCTCTGTGCATCTTTGGAAATATTGAGCTGTGGGGTTCCTCAAGGTTTGGTTTTGGGACCATTGAATTTTTTTCATTATACATGCTACCTTTAGAATATATCTTTAAAAAACATGGTATTGCTTTCCACAGTTATGCAGACAATATTCAGATTTATGTCTCATTACTATATGATTGTATACTCACCCAAAAATGTCAAAATGCCTAACAGATGTGCAGGCAATTTAGGGTTGGGCATCGTTTGATTTTGAACAATTCCGATTCCAATTCCTCGTTTCGATTCTGGTTCCTATCGATTCCTGATTCCGATTCTTTGAATACATGGCATGCTTTACATGAGCCAGCTAACCACAGGTCCTACTTGATGAAATAATCTTAACTTCAGCATGAGTTTTAATTCTATGAACAACAACATCACCTTCATTTAGACAGAAACGTGTTTTGGAGGAAAAAAAAGAAAAAGACTTGCAGCACAACCCGTGTGTTTGTTTCTGACCACAACCAAAGTCTGGAAGCAGCCTCTGGGATGAGAGGCTAAATGTCTCCAACATATCCAGAAATGTCCAGCTGTTTTCAGCTAAAACTCTCAGGATGATCATGTCCAGGATGACTGAGAACTACGCCTCCATGCTGCAGCAGCGTTCAGTCAGTACAGAAACTGAAACTTAAATGTAGCTGCTGTCAGTAACAACCTAACAGATTTTAAACATTAAAACTCAACAGAAATAGTTCAGAAATGAAATTAAAATGTTCACAACTTTGTGTGTGATTTATTATTATTATTATTATTATTATTATTTATTGTGGCAGAAGCTGGTGTGGTCCACCGCAGAGAAGCTGCTCTAGCATGATGACTTTAATTATTCTACAGGTTATTGTTCAGCCTTCTGACGCTCCGTGTGTGTTGTTATTTCTGCAGTGAGACAAACTCACCTCACACCGTCCAGAGTTTGTTCTTTAAAGCTTCCATTAAATCCACCGTGTTGACGTATTTTTACAGGTTTCTTCTACGCTGCAGAAGTTTAAGTTTACATTACGGAGTAAAAGTTCGGCAGACACATTTGTTTAGATTTGGCCGCTGCATTGCTGGATGGGGTAGGGAGGGGGGACTCGTGCTGCACACAGACAGCTGGTGTGATCAGCTCTGAAAAGCGTTGATCACAATTTGCAGATCACGTTTATTTTTTCACGGAGATCGGCCACGGATTCCTCTTCCATTGGCACACAAGGAATCGAAACTAGAAATCAAAATAAAAAACGTTGAGCGATTCCGGGAAAAATGAACAGTTGGAACCGGTTCCAATCGATGCTCGATTCTCGATGCCCAATGGTTAGAGAAATATTTTCTCAAACTAAATGAGCACAAAACAGAAATAATGGTATTCGGGTCATCTACTGTGTAGCGGAGGCAAATGGATTACTTATTTGATCTTCTGTTTAAATGTAAAATATTACCTTGCTTGATCTTTATTGTAAATATCAGAAGATTATATGATTTTTGCTTGATTAAGTAATTATACACACTTCGTTTTGATTCAGAAAAGAGTCAGGTTTATAAAAGTAAGAATTTATTTTACAATCATTAAAACACGACAAGTGAACTAAGCATTTACTGTGAGTGGATGAAGCTAAATGTGATGTAGGAACCTGTGTGTGTATGCGGTGTTGGTCAGAACTTCCTCATCTCGGAAAGCAACGTCTCCTGATGAAAAAGAATTTGGATTGCTTAAGCTATGAAGTTGTTATCGTCAGAAGCACATCAGACGCAATCTCTCTGTGTTCTACCTCACCCTTTTGATGATCTAGAGGTCAGAGAGGTCGGATGACCTCGGGGCACCCAGGTCCAGTAGACTGACCTCAAGCACCGACTTCTCCAGTCCAGAGTTGTCACCAGGCAGCACAGGTTGTGATCAGCTTGCGTCTCAGGAATAACTCTTAAGGAGTTGAACAATATCAGCTTGTTTCTGCAGGAACTATTTTGCTGTCTCAGCTTTGTAGGTGCAAAAAGGTTTTGACGACGTGCCAAAATCTTAGATGGTTCAAGAGGTTTGGCTACAGATGGCCGGTCTGAAGCTTTCTCTAGAACTACCGAATCTCTCAGAATGATCTAGTTTTAAGGTTTAGCTGTTATGATTTGCACAGCCAATCAGAGGCTGACAAGTTTGGAGATGTTTTACCAAGGCAACTCAGAAACACACCCTCTTTGATGTCGCAAGTACTGACTAGTTAAAAAAACAAGTTATGTGTTGTAGTCTTAACTTAACCGTACATGTTATTGTGGATGCAGGTGTGAGGACCTTGTCGTCAAAACATGTTGAACACGTGGCAGGTTCTAGTAGGCAAACATAATACAACATCCATTCAGTGTGCACAGATTAATGAAGCATTATTATAAGTAGTAATAAACAAATGTTTATTTAATGATAATCTAGATTATAAGTCATAGAAGTAGTTCATATTGATTTAGTAAATCATTCTTGAATTTAGCAATTGATTTGAGGTGGAGTTCTTTCTTCTGGAGGCAGACAGATGGGACCTTGGGAAAGAAAGTTATTGTTTATCTTTCAGACTTGCAGAGTCTGTGAATCCCAGCTGGTGTGAAGGCAGACACATTTAAAGGGAACACAAGCAATGTTGTGTCTCCTTTCTGACCAGATGTTGAATAGATGCTGAGAGGTCAGACAGTGCCTAAACCGACCATTGCTGGACGCTACAACTGTGATGCAAGACCATCGTAGTTTTGGACCTCTTTCATCTTATTGTCATTCTACAGCTAGTGATTTGGACATTGTTTTTCTAACTTGGGTATGATGTTTGTGAATAAGATCAGCTCTATGGTTTAAGCCTGGGGATGCACGTTTACCAAAATTTCTTTAACCGGCTATTGACGCCCCTTAATGGTTAATACACCTCATGCACACAAACATTTGCCCCTGCTCTATAAATATCGCCTTTTCCGTCTACTCTTTTTAATATAAATCTTCAAAAACAGTTTTCTTACGTTGAACTAAATAATTACACTTGACATTTCTTCATTTTACTGGACAAATTAGGAGTCAGACACAAGGAGCGTCACGGCACACTGACCTTTTGCTGTGTCATGTTCTGCCAGGCTCAGAGCTTTGATGTGAGGCCTATTGTGTTCCAAGAAGGAAATAACTTAGAATAAACTGCTCCAATGGTGGCTTGTTGTTAACTCATTAACTGCGATTGACAACAAAAGTTGTCATTTTAAATCCAACCGTTCACCGCCATTGACGACTAAAGTGGTCATTTGCATTTTTTTGCTGTGTGAACATCGGAACGAGTCTCCACCGTGAGAATGAACATCCCAGCTCTAAAGCCGATCTTTGTCCGTGTATGTCACACGTCACGTAATCAGGAAGCAGAAAATCCATGTGTTAGATCATTTTGGGCCGCTGCTCACTGGCTCTGATGCTTGGATTTGTACTTGTACAGAAAACATTTAAACGTTTGCCAATGAATTGATTTATGCCAACACTTTTGGGACATTCAGTAAAGAAGCATTAATAATGGATGTTTTTTTCCCAGAGCAAAGAGAATGGGTTTTTCTAACTAAATCAGGAAAGACTGAATCTGTTTCATATTTTTTTAAATACAAAATTCCTCCACTGGTTACATGGAGTGGCTCTCCACACACTTATTAACATTAGATTTCTGCATTTCCACTTAAAGGCCAGTATTAACAGACACATTTTCCTCAATGTTATACAACAATCACTAATATTACCCAACAATCTTAGCTATTTTTGATTACATGAAATTTAACAACTAAGCATCTTTGGTGTGTTCTTACTGTGTTTAGTTTCTAATTCATTTTTGGTTCTTTTTAAAACACAGGAAAGGTTTTTCTTTACCTTGCTAACGTTTCGTTTGCCGACTGCGAAACATCCTCAGAGCTGACACTGATGGTGGCTTCATTTCCTACTCCGTTTATCCATGGGCAGCAGATAAACGGAGTAGGAAATGAAGCCACCATCAGTGTCAGCTCTGAGGATGTTTCGCAGTCGGCAAACGAAACGTTAGCAAGGTAAAGAAAAACCTTTCCTGTGTTTTAAAATGAACCAAAAATGGAATTTAATGACCAAGGTTGAGGATGAGAGAACAGCTTATCAGAGAGAGGCCGCCATAGTGAGAATTCCGGAGAGAAGGGCTCAAAAGCTGCAGCTATGATGGGGAAAACACCTGGATCATCTGCTGTGCAGCCAAGAGAACCAGACAAGCTAACAGATTTAGTTTTAGTTGTGGATGCATGACATCTACACAAGAACACAGCGTGCCATGCTATACTCCCTGCCATTAAATTATTCCCTTTTTTACATTCTTTATACACCATGTTGTACAGCATGGGAATTGAGCCTGCATGCCTTTGCAAAACATTACAGGCCTTATTCATTAGTGAAAGTCAAGTCGACATAAGAAAATGCTCTTAAACTTTATTACATTTAAATCCCACAGAGCCCAGAATTCATCTTCTATTCAGGCCTTAGAGCTCACTCAGTAAAAGCAGCATCAAAGCTTTGCGAATGAACCTCCATGCTCATTAGCATGTTTGCTGAGCTGGGCAAGAACGGTGTGTGCTGGAGCCCACAGCCAAGCAGGTTTAAATTTGGAGACCTCTTTGCTAATCGCACAGCTTCATGCAGTACAATTAGTTGGTGTAACAGCTCTTCTACAATGCAAATAATCAAGTCAAAGCCCTGGTTCCTAGTGGAATGAGAAAGATTATAGTCAACTAGACAGTAGAACTTGTTTGTGTCCCTGTGTGTGTTCTGTGCTTCTGTACTCCCGTTTCTCTGCACCAAAGGCACTGATGCTATTTATAATCTCAAAGAGCTAAATGGAGAGCTGGTGCCAGGAATAGATGGATATGCTCATTACAAAGTTCAGCAGCAATAAAGAGGCCCCTACAGCTTGGATACTGCAGTATATATGACACACGACACAGCACAGATTCGCTGGCTTTCACTGCTCTGGACATTATGCTTAAAGGGATTCTTTGGTGATTTTGAAGTGGATGTCCTCTAAATAATTGTTATCTTACTTTTTGTGAATAGTTTTCTCTTTTTCAAAGACCTTCAGGTGTGTTAATGCTAGGCCAATGTACTGCTGCAATCTTAAAGGTGTGGAACCTTTTTTATTTATTTTATTTTTATTGCCTTTTAGACGCATTAAAAGACATACGTACAAGCCAGATCCTGATGTGAGCTCTTTTGTTTGCTCCATTAAGAAGCCTTGCTGCAGAGTTCTGGACCATCATAAGGCAGCCAAGGGCTTCTTTGTTATTTCATTCCACTGCTCCTCAGAATGTCAAAGAGATGGTTAAAATGCTGTTGTGTGATGACACACTCCCAGCGTGTAACATTGCTTGATCCAACTCTTTTGACTGAAGCTGGGATGGAGAACAGCAGACCCGGAAGTTTATCCAGAAGAGCAGGTATGGTGGCTGATGGAAAACATCTCGTCATGACACTGAAAAAGCAGACATTCCTGACTATTGAATCGCCTACCAGCAAAGTAGTAGGTGAAAACGGTGGACAAGGTGTAGAGGACTCTTGATTTGTATTTCAGTGGTTTAGTGGATTCTGGATTTTGGTTCCTGTGGTGCCGGGGAACTGAAGGGTTTGAGGTGGAGGAATGGCTGTGGAGGAGCTCACCTCAGAGGAGCTCACCTCCTGAGCCATGGCAGGTGGTCCAAGGTGTCAACGCACAGCATCCTTCAGTACTTTGCATCGGGCAGTGGAGATTGAGGTCTGGGGGGGGGGGGGGGGGGGACACTGTGGAGGTTGCTTCTTATGGACTACAGGCTCCTGCTGGGTGGCATCAGATGGTTGAGTGGGAGGAGGGGGCTTGGAGGCATCAGCTGGTTGTTCCTCAGCAACTGGAGAGAATCGGTTTGAAAGACTGAGGCCAGGTGGGGGGATGGGATCAATATCAGGGGCTCTCCTACGGCCACGTACCACAACGTCTGGCCAAAATGAAAATGGGTCAGGAGTAGAGCTGGAAGTCGGCAGTCGTGGTGCAGCAGGATCTCAAGCAAATAACCTCCTACACCTATCTCCTGTATGAGCTGATAGAAAATAGACGATGAAACTTTAAGATTTGAAAAGTCTGACAGATCTGCGTCACACTGTCACCGAACATTCATAGACTCATCCATCTTGACTCACAACGGGGAAGGCTGACAGAAGCTCCTCTAGACATCTGTTATTTGTGGAGATAAAACATCAGTTTACATTGCTGTTATCCAATCTGTGGCGAGATGTCCAAATAGCAGGAAATAAGACTCAAAAACCTGCGGTCTGAAGCTTAGCTGTGAAATGGGCAACATTCATTCCACTCTAATCAGGGATGCTAGAGTTAAAGTGTTTAAAGTGCCTTATAAATGAATAATAATTTAATTAAAAGTGTGCTTTTATTTAAAATGTATTATTATTGGTGTATTTGTGTTGACTTTGCAGGGACGTCCGTTTGACTTTGAGGATGGAGATGTGTACATGTCTTCCCATGAGCATCGTTTCCGTATGTTCAGCTCCGTGGAGTATGAGGGACAACTGTTCATGACGCCGCAGAACTTCATTGAGTCCGTTACCATGAGTGAACCGAAAAGTACGTATCCAACACTTAGTTCTCACAGGTTTGTTCAAAGCCTACCTTTGATAGAAACATTTCCACATTTATGGATTTCATAACTTGTGTTTGTGTGTCACATATTTGTCTCCAGATCAAGCATTAAAATAAGTTAAGTCAAACATATTTTTGATAAATGTCAGCCAAGTTTTCAAGTTTCTTATTGTTTCAGTCATTATCCAAATAACCATAGATGAGGATTGGGACAAAAATCGACTGGTTAATTGAAAAATTGTGCAATTACAAAAAATAAATAAATAAATGTAAAAGTTATTCATAAGCTTTAACTATTTTTATGCTTAGTTATATTGAAAAGATTTCCCCCCAGAATTTCACAACTTCTAACTAGAAGTTCCCCCCACATGTTCTGACATGTTTGAAAATGTTTTAATAGAATAGAACAGATTTTGTTGATCCCACAGTGGGGAAATTCACTTGTTACAACAGCATCAACACTTAAGAGGTTATTTCATCTACGGACTATCAGTGAATTCATCACTGTCCCTTACTATTGTTTTAACATAATTTTAAAAAGTGTAGTCTAGTTTGATTACATGATTTAGATCATTTTGATGTGTTTAAAGTTAATCCTCTTGTCTGGTCCTAAAATAGTTTTTACAGTGCTGATGTCAGCATCTGGATTTAATGGGTTTTAAATTTTATACGTCTTAAATCACTCAGAAATCCAGAGTTTAAGCACATCTTTGCAGTTTCTGTCAGCCCAGTTGTAACAGATTAGGCTTGGCTAGCCAGCCTCAAAGCAGATGGCTTTAGAGCTATTGTTTAGTCTGAGGGTAATGTTAGTCAGACACACACTCCCATGGTTCTCATGCATCCTCTCCTTTAACCAGTAAATATCGAAGTCGGACAGTAAACTTCACCCACAGGTCTAAAACTGCCATTACTCACAGAGAAGCAACAAAAGGCCACTTCTCTTTGCAGTGGGCATTTGATTGAATTGCATGCAAATAGTGCACCTGTATGTGTGTGTTTACATCTCTTCTTGGCTCGCTGTCATACGATACAGCCGCTCATACCCTCTTGGCAGCCGACATCCTCTAATGCCCCCTTTGAAGTTGAATTAGATGAACTTTGTTGTATAAAACAGAACAAAAGTAGTGTGTGCTTTTACTGGGACATTCCACATACTACAAAGGCAAGCTCAGAGCACTTTAGACAGTACAAATGGGCCTGCAATGATGAGCGTGTGTATATATATATATATAGCGAGTGTGTGTGTGTGTGTGTGTGAGTGTGTGTGTGTGTGTGTGTGTGTGTGTGTGTGTGTGTGTGCGTGTGTGTTGTGACTGTACCAGGCACATTAAGAGCCATTTCTAGATCATACAGATGTTATCTGACTGAGGCCACCCAAACTCTCTTCTCCTCTTTCTCTTCTTTCTCCTCTTTTGTCTGATTCCCTGGCAGACAAGAGGCCCTGGAGGTCCCTGACCAAACAGGTGGGAGACACACTTTACATCCTTCTTTTCTCCTGCTCCGCACTGCAATCTGACATCTGTTGCATGGTGTATACAAGCTTGTTTTCCACCACAGAGCATAAATTAGACATCTGCAATAAACATTTCATTCGTTTTGGCAATGCAAGTTGATTTTCTGCAGAAATGGAGCAGATCATATAAGATCCTGGAGCTGATCATATTTAGTCTACAGTTCAGTTTTGGTGTTTACTGGGTTCTGTCTTGTAATAAATCTTTAAAATGTTTGGCAAGGTATAAGCTAGGTCATAAAGGTAACTCCAAATCTTCTCAAAACAACACCCAACTTTTATAAAGTGCAGATATTTATAAATAACTTTAGTTTTTCAGCTTTTATTGGACAAAACTGAACATTTCATTGCAGTGCCAAAATAAGTAACCTGCATTCTTCTTCTCTCAAAGCATGCTGCACAGACTAATTATTTTATCGGAAACTTCAAGTTGGAAGGTGGAGGTTTTGTCATTTTACATTCTCTTTCTATCTCGCCCCACCTCTTTCTCTCTCTCTTTGTGTGTATGTGTGTGTGTGTGTGTGTGTGTGTGTGTGTGTGTGTGTGTGTGTGTGTGTGTGTGTGTGTGTGTGTGTGTGTCAGGAGCTGGAGAAGATTCTGACAGAAACTCCCCCCGTGTGGAGAGGATCCTCCAAACTATTTCGCAACCTGAGAGAGCGAGGTTAGGGCATGCACACACACACACACACACACACACACACACACACACACACACACACACACACACACACACACACACACACACACACACACACACACTTTTGTTCTTGTATTTGTGTGTTTCTGCAGCTGAAGGACAGAAAGCATCCTTCGATCCTAAGGCCAGCCTTTACTGCCGAAGTCTAACATTTTATTGACTTCTATGAAATTTAGTTTTGACCCTCAAAAGAAATTCTGGCTCATGTTTTATTTTTTCTCACCAAGCTTTTGTAGCTTAACAGGAATTGTGAGCAACAAGACCTTGACCTTCCATGACTGCATTGTTTATTCAGGATGTCTTCTACATGAATACCTCTACATTTGGCAGGAGATGAATCTAATCTTACATCTAAAGGAGCGTATTATGCAGCCTTTGCCTTTAGTCAAATTCCTCACATATGGCTGTTTCATGCCCATCGCAAATGGAACAAACATCACGATGAAGTGTTTACCTTTGGGGAAACAGGTTCCTTCTAAGAGGACTGGAGGGGATAAGTGAACATACAGAAAAACCGAAGACCTGAGTCCACACAGTCCACACTGGCATAATGTGTTTTTTATCTACTGCCTTTCATTCGTTTAATTTTTCTCTACATTGCAGTTTAGTGGTTGTAATGTGGAAAAATATCCTGGTTTACACTTTTATTTTGCTGTGTTAGTAATTTATATGTCACACAAGTACAAGAAGTTCATACGTTACTAACCCTAACCCCAGGAAAGAACAGTGTTAATTAATCATATGAATGTTTACTCAAACTATAAATTCTTATTTATTCAAGACATAAATGTAAAACACAATAAAAATTTATACAAATAATGAGTACAAAATTAATCTGAAATTAAAAAATGAGTATGTTTCTTAAATCTCCATAGTTTTTTGTCAAGACAGCAACAAGTGAATAAAACTAAAAAATTTTAATTCTTAAAAAATGTTTTTTAAATAATATTTCAAATAACTGAAATTATTGTATTTCTCAAATTTGAGTTACGTGTTTTGGATACATATTGTTTTTTAATAAAAAAGAATAATGGAGCAATCCAATGCATCGCCACAGGTTCAACTCTCCCAGAGTTACCACAAGGACCAATCACGTGTGCCACCCCAAAAATTTTTTTGGCCTCGTCTGGCCACCCGTATCAAAAATTTCTAGAGGCACCCCTGAACTAGCAGTGAGCCACATCACAGCTGAGCTTCAGACGGCAGGTTATGGAGTTTTATTCCTTGATATTTGGACTTATTATCTCGGATTGGATAACAGCAACATGACTCCACCACTGAGTTGCAACAATAAATAACACAAGCCTGGAGGAGCCTCTGCTTTGAGGTGAAGTTGCTAATGCTAATGGTTAGCTTCTACTAGTCAAGATATTCTCTGCTGTCACCTGGATGCTAAAACAACAGCTTTCCCCATCACGAGTCAAGATGGCTGAGTCCATGAATGCTAAGTGACAGTGTGACATAGATCTGTCAGGCTTTTCAAATCCTAGAGTTTCACTGTCTATTTTCTATCAGAAGCTAATGCAGGAGCTCGCTGGTGAAGGTTCTCAATCATCCAGGTCATGGTAATCCAAAGGGTTCAAATGAAGGCAACCAGACGTCTTTGGTTTATGAAGACGTTTCGCTTCTCATCCGAGTAGCTTTGTCCATTCTAACTGAAATATTTTGAGAGTCAAGCATATAAGCTTGCAGGAGATAGGTGTGGAAGACTATTTTCATGTTCAGCCTGCATGTTAAACTCAGAGTGACCGATTATTATCAGAAATAATACTTTACAAATGGTTTTTCAGTGTTCCACACCTTTAAAATTTTACTGCATCTTATCTAAAGTTGAACGTTATCCCTAGAAGAAGAAGATCTGTTTTATTTTATTTTTTGCAGTTTTTTTTTTGTTCTTTTCATTATTGCAAACCTTTATGGATTAAATAGTGCTTATGGGTGTGTGTGTCCCTGCAGTTGTCTCTGCGTTGGTGTCATGCTGGCCCTCCTTACAGCCATTTCTCCTTTCCTCCTCCCCCTTCTCATTATAAATGAAGTGAGCTTAGCCTAATTAAACACTTGCTTTGGGATTGAGTAATAGAGACTCACACAGTCAAGAACTGAGTCCCTATAGTGATGATTACACAGCAACACACACATACACACAGTCACACCAGGAGAAGCTAAATAAAGAACACCACGTGTGATTAAGCTGGCAACCTATGTGTTGGTTGGGATTTGTCTGTAGGGACAGTTTCCAGGAGGACTTCCTTCTTTGCTCTTGTTTTATCAGGAAATACAAAGAATAAAAAATAAAGAATCTAGTGAATCAGGGAGTTCAAAAATATAAATGTTGGAACAGGAGGAGTGTAAATATGTGGTAAAAGCCATAGTTTCAGCTTTCCAAGGGCCTCTTGTGTGTCATTTGTGTGTGTGTGTGTGTGTGTGTGTGTGTGTGCGTGCGTGCGTGCGTGTGCGTGTGTGTGTGTGTGTGATTCTCAGAACATAAATTGTTCTTCTGACTAAAATGAACAAGGACACTGACAAATGCCAGGAATTGCTTTAGATTTTTTGTTGAGCAAAAAGTCAGACTAGAGCATTATTTAGCAGTTTAATGTGAACATAATTTAAAATCCTACATTTTACAAATTCTAATGATTTTATAGTATTTATCTATTAACTTATAAATCAGGAGGACTTGAGATGAATCATCTTGTTTCCGAGTGGGTCCTCCAACAATAAAGCAAATAAAGTCCAAGAAAGTAGAGACAACAACAAATTGACAAGTCTAGGACATAAATCACAACCACAAATAATTAACATAATGAACAAGATTTAAAAAGTAAATAAAATCCCGCTGTGCTACAGTCAAAAGAAATAAGTGTAAATGTAAAACTGTAGCTATTTTAAATAATTGGTCATATTATCAAGCAGTGGATTCAAAGCAATTGCAGGTCTTCTTCACATGCTCATAAACTGAATTTTTAAATAAACTAAATGAAGACATAGATCTTAAATGTACAGGTAACTTATTCCAATCCCAAGGAGCTTTAACAGAAAAAGCACGTTTTCCTACTTCTTTTTTAAAACGAGGAATTACAAAAGAAAGGTGGTCATTGATCCCAGTGCGATACACAGAATTAAAGGGTAACATTTTCAAATAAGATAGAAAGTCAAAAAAGATGCATTTAAAGATAAGTAACAACCAATGAAATTGTTGCCTGTCATTTAAGGAAAGCTTATACTAGTTATGTGTATTTTCCCAAAGCCACAAGTCAGTAAAGAAAAATAGTTTATTTTTAGTCCATGTCTTACCATCAGTCTCTGCTTCCTTGGGAATCACAGACCTTTTCATTCAATAGTGCCACACTGAGAGCATGGGAGTGTAAACATGCAGGCGGCGTATGGAAACCTGAGGAGCTTCAGAGTGTATTCTGGTGTTTGCAAAGCTCGAGCTACATTGGGGGAAAAGAGAATTCAGTTCCAAACCAGCTCCTCTACACAAAACAGTCCAACATCAGCACAACACTGGCTTTAACTGGTGTCGTGTTCGCCTTCACACACACTCATGCGTACATACACACTAATGGCAGATCAGTCTCCCGGAACACTCGAGCGAGTCACCCTGAACTATCGGAGCAATCTGACAGAAAGCAAAGGAAGAACAGAGAGAGGAGCTGCAAGGGTTCTAAATGTGCCAGAAGGAAGGAAAAGATCACTCTTGAAAACATCTTTCACATGCTTATCCAAACACACACACACACATAATCTAACCTCTGCCTTTACTCTGGACACTGAGGGTAGAAGAAGAGACTGTGTGGGGCCAAATGGCTGTTGAAGGCTCAGTCTGGAGAAGACACATTTTAAGATGCTATCTTCCAAAGGGGGAGGATTATGTGTGTTAATGTGTGTGGCTGCATGTGAGGCGTGAGAGGCCCATGGGCTTTGAACATGTGTAAACAATGTGCAGGAGTGTCTTGAATGTGACCTTTTTAACTCTTTGCCTTGATCTCATCATTAGGTGTCATCTCCTACACAGAGTACCTGTTCCTGCTCTGCATCCTAACAAGTGAGTTGGTTCTTCTTTCACACATCTGTCTCTCACATTTTGATTTTCTTGTGAAAAGATGAACCTACACAGGGCTCAGGTGCAACATGTCAGGAGTCAAGTACACCCCAGAGCAGTGATGCAATAATCAGTCGCACATTACTCTAACATAACACCTTTTTCCACTAACAGCCATGCTAACAGTTTACTAAGTCATTTGTCAAAGACATGTGTGTTACTAGTTACTATTTTTGTGATTTGCAAAGTATATTACAGCAGCAACTCTAACCCTCAGGCCAAAACTGATAACAAAAGTGGCAAAGTGTTTGTAACACATACCACGTAGAACGAGAAGGGTATCGCTGCAGAGCAGGAGATAGCAGATTCGGGCCGACTGCTGACTCAGGCTTGTATTGTTTTTGAGACATCACCACCCAAGATGGAGGTCGATCGGAGCGTAAGTAATAAACATGAAGCACCTTTCTTTAATGGTATCAAAGCATCTTTTTTACTGATCTTTCAAAACAAATTTTAATTGTCGAGTTAAGTTTGACAGCAAAATAAACGTTTTCTTGTGTTTAGTTTAAAATGAGTTGATGCGTTTATCACCACATGTAGGCTAAGCTGGGAGCTAACTTTGTGGAAATGACTGGTCTGAACTGCACGTTTAGTTAAATTATATCGTCCACACTTTGACAAATTGAACAACGTATAACAGTAATTGTGGATGATGTCAAAGAACAAGTTATAGGCCAGCTTTTTCATAAAAGTATGAAATGGTTATTTTCTGATAGAAATAAATGCATTAATTTAGGTAAAGTTATTTTTTATTATATTAAGATAAAGTTTAAAGAAAGTATTGCTGTTCAGAAAATAATGTTAATGTAAATATTAACTGACTTACATTTAGTGCAGAGCATTACAGTTCACAATGTGAATGCTATGTACACTAAAGAAAAGTGTGAGTGTGCCTGAATGTGTATTCTTAAGGTCTGCAGCTATATACTATTGTGAAGAATATCTCACACATTATTCTATTCAACAACCAAACAGCACCGGGGCTCCGATTGCTTGGGATGGAACCCTAACTCACGGTGCACAATTAATACCAACAAAAATAGCACCATCAGAACACTGAACAAAAGACTAGCAACATCCAACAAAACGCTGGCAGTAAAACCACAACAAAACACACCAAAATAGAACAAACAACTGGAAACCTGGCTTCCCACAATGCACTTCGCCTGATGCTTGTTCCACAGTCACTACAATATTGTAGTGACCCCGCCCACTGCTAAACAGGCAGCGGGCGAGGTGAATTGTGAGTAGCTGGTTTTCAGTTATTTTGACCTATTTTTATGGGCTTTTGGATGTTTTGCTGGGGTTTTATTGCTAAGGTTGTGTTGGTTGTTTGTCCCTTGTTCAGTGTTCTGATGGTGCTGTCTTTGGTCGGTGTTAATTTTGCACTGCGAGTAGCAGTTCCATTTCGGGTAATGACAAATCTCCACATGACTTTTATTCTTTAAACTATCAGGAGTTTTACAGAAATGTCATGTTTCTGTCTGTCCTCAGCTGCGCTTGATGTGTTCTGTGTCACACCCTGTCCTGTCTCCCCGTTTGGTTCAGCCATGTGTCTCTGTTGATTGCTCCCACCTGCCTCTCGTTTTCCAACCACCCAAGTAGTGATGGGAATTCCGGCTCTTTTTAGAGAGCCGGTTCTTTTGGCTCAGCTCACCAAAAAGAGCCGTCTCTTTCGGCTCCCAAGTGGCTCCTCAGATTTTCTGTTGCGTAGAGTACATTTATAACCAAAATAATGCTAAACTATATGTAAATTAATTTACTAATGTAAAAAAAGGCAATATATCAAATATTTATCATTTCTATGGATTTAATAACTGAACACTTTAAGAAATCTCCACTTTCTGACTGCTGGCGCTCATTTTCTCACTGTCTTCGTCGCACTCTCCTCCCTCTCACTCGCCTTTTTCCTCCTCCTCATTCCCTCTCGTCTCCCTCCTCCCACATGTGCTCTGCTGTGTGTCTGTCTGAGTATGATCCTCCCTCTTCCCCGCCCCCTACTGCTCTGTGTGTGGACAGTCTGGACACGCAGTTACACACATGTTGACCAATCGCCTGTGGCTTTCACCGGGGCAGGGGGGAGGGGCGAGGGGAGGGGACGGCTCCCAATGACGAGCCGGCTCCCGTCGTTCACTTCAAAGAGCCGGCTCTTAGAGCCGGTTCGTTCGCGACCGACACATCACTACACCCAAGCTCCCAGCCCTCTTGTATTTAAACCCCTTCAGTTCTGAGTCTCGTGTTGGATCATTGTTTCAGTGTCAGCGTGTTTATTATTAAAGCCTTTAACCGTTCATGTCTGATTGCCTACCTTCTTCACCCGCGTGTGGATCCTCCCCTCCGCTTCACACTCCAGCACGCCTGACATTCTGGAAGCATAGTGTGTAAAATAAAGAAAACAAAGACTCACAGTGAGAATGCATAGGAATGACGGTCCCAATGACAGTGCTTCTAGGAAGCATCTAAAACACACCTATCAACTCGATTGGGGATATATAGCTGTGTATTATTCTTTGCAAACGTTACAAAATGAGTACTCATCTGGTGGAAGCTGGGGTAACAGACACATGATATTTAGAAATTTTAAGATTGAATTTAATTGTTAAACTCCCAAGACACCAGTGTTATCACCAGATCTAGTTAAAAATGCGATAAAAACTGCTAGCATCAACCAGTCAGAGTTTGAATTGCACCATGAGAAAATACAATTAATGTATCTTTTCATGTTCTCAGCAAAAAAAAAATAATTCAATATAGTCATTTTAGTTATTGATTCTGTATCATAACCCAAAACACTGCAATATTTCAGTGTGTTGTTTTCTAACATCCCTATTAGATAAATTATTAAAATAAAGGTTCGGTGTGTTTGGGAGGAATCTGGCATAAAAATGTCAACGTCTGAATGAAAAGGGAGTACAAACACATGAATTAGCAATACCATACGTCATATATTTGGATCTCAGTGATAACATGTGTACTTCCTGGATAATGCATGCATGAATAATCACATTTGAAAAGTTCCAGCTGAGATTTGAACCTGGTCCTTTCTTACCGGGAGGAGACAGCATAAACCACCTCTCCACCGTCTGGCCTGTATTGCCTCTTAGGAGTTATTTTTCTTCATCATTTAAAAGGTACAGTTATGTTACCCCAGTTATCAGAGAATATTTTCTACTATCAACATTTAATATTATCCTCATTTATTATCAAAAGGTCAATTTCCCTTCATTAGTGGGTGCTTCTCTGGGATGAAACCACCATTTCTCTGTGTGTTGGCCTTGAGCCACAGCTTTCCTGGCTATTTGCGGCTTAAAAATGACCTCCAATAAACACATGCACTCACTCACTCACTCCGTATGTGTTCTGCTATCTGTTCTCCAGAACCTCACGCTGGCTTTAAGATTGCTTTCAATATGTTTGATGCAGACGGCAACCAGATGGTGGACAAGAGGGAGTTCTTGGTGGTGAGTTCCTGATTCTCAGAGATTAACAATCTGAAAATGCATGTCTATTATACTGCCACTTTCTGCTTATTTCACTGCAGGAATGTGCTGTTTAGGACATTAAACACACTGAGAGTGTGATGATTATCTGTGATTTTTAATGCAGCACAAAAGCATATTGGAGTTCATCCTTGAAGGTAGCACTAGGTTTAATTAGAACGATTTACGCATCTTTGTAGGATTAGTATTATTGTTTGTTTTATATTTAACAGGCTTCATGTTGGGTGCCTAATATTCCTTAGCTAATTTTCTTCTAAACAGAAGGTTTCGTATGCTTAAAGCATCTAAGAGGTTGATTTGGTGTCCATCTACTAAATAGCAATGTGCAGCTTTTTTATTAGGGGTTTTACGTGTGTTATTCTGTCTGCAGGTTTATGGTTTGTTACCTGAAATATGGCTCCAGGCAGGTTGGGATCAGAACCTGTGTGGAGGTGGGAGGGAGGTGTAACGATTTTAAAACCTTGCAGGAAATAGTAAGGTTGCCAAAATAAATAAATAAAAAGCCACCCAGAAAACACCTTGATTTGTCCATATTTTAAACGTTAAAGGTACAGTGTGTAAGAATAAAGTAAGATGCCATCTTGTGGTCAAATTTGGTTATTGGAATCACTTTCTCACTCCTGTTTCGTGAGTTTCGTGGCTGTTGCCAGGTCAGCACCAGAAGATTCTAGATAACTAGCAAAGACGAGCATCCACAGATGTTGGTGAGTAGATAAATACATTGTCATAGCTGGCACTCTTCAGTGCTTTACAGCAGGGAGCACTTACTACACCAGTGTTTCCCCCAGTGCCTTATAAGGCCTTCCCCGCAGTCACGCGCGGCAGCGGAACGAACCGTGCACCCAGAGAGTAAAACAAACAGATGCCATGGCTTCTTAGGGGTACAGGAAATAACCTTTGGCACGCTCTTGTTACTGGCTTTGGTTCTAACTCTAGCTTTTTGCCAGTCATAGTTGAATTAAAAATTGTGGGACTGCAGCATTGACTCGCAGGAGTCATAGCAACCTCACACTCACTGATGGTAAGCATTAGCTACGTCCCTCCTTTCTTTATTTTGAAAGCAGAAAATCTGACACCCCCCACAGCTGGCTGAGAATGAAATATGTTTTACTATATCCTTCCTTCCAACATGATTCAGACATTAAACTGTTTTGGGAATAGTTCTCTTTAGAAATCTTACTGTATTCGTACACATTACACCTTTAATTGTCAGATCAAGAAAATCTTCTAGCTAAAATGTCCAAAGGAACATGATTCATCGTTGCTTTTATCTCTTTAATTATAGTTTTGTTTTGCTAATTTAGAAAAGGAGCAAATAAAGTGTTCTAAAATATGAAAACTGACACTATTTTACTGTGAAAATTAATCCAACCAATAACTCCATCATCTGTGTAAACAGCAGTGTTATTCGGTGTCCTCACGTGCGTGGCCTCTACTGAGGAAAACGTTTTGTTGTTAGGGTTCTGACAGGAATTGGGGTTACACGTTAAATTTGTCAACAAGATCCTTTCTCTCCTTACAGCTTCAGGAGATCTTCAGAAAGAAAAATGAGAAAAGGGGAAGGAAAGGAGATGCTGAGAAGTCAGCACAGTTGGTAAGAGAGTTGGTTATCAAAGACCAAGTTGTCTGTGTCTGTGAAGGTAAAAGCTTTTTTCATCTTAACATTTTGGTGATAGTCTTGTTTTTACAAATGTTGTGATATAAAATAAATGTCTCAGCTACTTTTTACTGAGATGAATGTAACATGCTTAAAGGAAAAGATTAGTGTAAACTGACAATTTTATGAAACAACTCGATTCTAGAAGGTTGCAACACTTCTTCGCTTTTTGCAGCACCTCCATGCATTGGGTCCTTCTGTGTATATGATTTTTATCAGTGGTTTTGTTGATTTAAAGTCACATTCCTGAATTTTGCAGATGTATGCTCTCTGTTGCCCTCTCAAGGCGTGCTGCATAACGTCGTAAACTAAAATGTCTCTGTCACGCACAACAGCTAGGTTTACTGGCTGTTTTCCAACTCGTGTGCCCAAACATATTGAGCAGTGTTTCAGCTTTGAATAAAGATTTATAAGGACTGTATAACAATTGTATGCCTGACCAAACACAATAACCCAGGTGAAATCATTTATTACTTACCTATCCATTAGCAACACATGCCGTTCTTTTGGGAAGAGCTCTCCAGCGAGGAAAACCCGGCCCAGTATTAACTCTGGTCTTTGCTCCTACTCATCGCGTTCTCTTTTTCTTTTCCTAGATTCCTCTGATGAAGGATTTCTAGCTTTCTCTGGTGGATCTGCCATTGCTAAATTCTCTAAATTGCGGGTCCATCACAGACATATATACGTAGATGCCCCGTGGACTGGTGCTGTCGTAGTGGCCGGCCACCATTTTAGATGGGTCCCTATTCACCCCCAGTGCATTAATTTTTACTAAGGAAGGTGCTACCCAACTAAAAAACACATTTTGTCACACTTTTTCACAAAATCTGACATGTTACTCACTCTGCATTGACTTTGGACTTTTATACAGTCACTGCTTTGGAGAGTGAGACCCATCCAGTATGGCAGCGACGCTGTTACGCTATCCAGCGCCCGATGGGGCATTTACCTATTCATGTCTATGGGGTCTACGTCTACGTGATACTGCCGTAAAGCAACACACAGTCAGGACTTCCGGCCGTCGACCATGGGTCAAAAACAGTATAATGCGGTAAACAAATGTCACAGCTCAGAAAACGAACATAACAGACGATAGTATGCCGTCAAAACCTTTCAAAAAATCATTATTTAAGGTGTAAAAGTTGCAGAATGTGGCTTTAATACAGAATTTCATTTGTGTATTTGAAAAATGTTTAGTGCCACCTGGAAGCTGATTTACCTACTTGCTGTGACGGTTATCCATTTTGTGTACTTGCTTAATATGACATGATGTCTGTAATTGGAGTTTAGGCACAGCTGGAAGCTTTGCATGACTACACTGCCTGTGTCACTTACGTCTGTTCACTGGATGTTCAGCTTTGTAAAAAGGAAATGTACATTTAGAGTTTGAGCAGTAGTGGATCAAAATTAATTTGCAACACCTATCTAGTCATTGTAAACACATACTCTTTCAATTGTGGTAGTTTAGGTGTCAGAAAAGTCTAAACAAAAGGAGTAAAGTTAAGTAAAACTTAGATAATTTAGCAAATTTTAAGAATTCTACCCATACAGCTTTTGCTTATCCCATTGGCAGATTTGTTACTCAAAACAAGAACATTTAACGTATTTTAAGTATTGCTATTTTTTCTAGAGAAGATATTTTTCTTTTTAGACAAAAATTAGGATAAATTACTTTTTAAAAACTTTCCTAGAAATCAGTTTTTCTAGTGCACCTCTGTTCGTTTTTTCAGGTGTAGAATTTTGTTGACTTGTACAGTTTTTATCTTGCTGCTGCTGCTACGTGTTCAAATGATCATGTTCTTGGGTATTTAGCTGCATTTAACTACTTCAAGTTAAAACAAAAACTCTGATTTTGTGCAGGGAAGTAGGTGCGGCTTTCAGACCCCCTTCTTTAATGCGCAGACTTCTGCTCCAAAATTACAACAGGGTGTGCAACATCCATACATTATGAGTTTTTATATCAACTCTGTACTGATACACAAAGACTTACATTTAAAAAGACCTACATTTTGTCTCCACTCAGAATCTTCTTACAGACTTGTGTGAAATGCTGTGCTCAGTGTTGTGATGCATAGTACGGAGTCTAAATGCAATCTATGACATGTTGTAAATGACACATCATCCTTCCTTGCCTGTACTAACACGTATTTTACCTTCTCTCGTCCTCTTTGTCTGCATGCTCTATTCTCTTCCTTATCCTCATGTCTCTCTCTGCGTCAGAGTATGCAGCTGTATGGATATCAGGTTGCCCCCATGAACAGCGTATGTATCACAAACCATAACACCTTAGTTTTTACATAGGTGTTCAAACTGTCAGCAAATATAAATGAAAGCAGTCAGACTCTAAGGGGATTACAGCTCGTACAACCAACAAATCAGTCATTTAGCATTCTCAGATTAAAAACATCTGTTTAAATGTAAAATATACAAAAATTTGATAAGAATTTGCTTTTTTCTGTTTTGAAAAGGATCTTAAGTTAAAGAGCTCAACAACACCCCCACCAAAGCTTTCCTTCCCTGACTTATCTACATCTTTATGATGTGGACAAGAACATAACAAATCTGTATTTGAGAGAATATAAACATACTGAGTGTCATGCAGGCCAGTGAGTCATTCATTCAAGGGAACATCACAGATCTGATTCACAGCCTCTGCACTTACTTTTGGCCCTTTTCCATCACATAGTTTGACTCAAGATAGTTTTTCTCTGTTAGTATGAATTTTGTTTTTATTTGTTTTTTATCAGATATATGAATCTGGTACTCAAGCCCAATCAATCACAGCAGACCAATTTATTAAAGAGAATTCTTACTTTGTGGGTGTCACAGAAATGTCTCGGCAAATATAAACTTTTGCAAATGCTGAAATTTAGAATAAATTTCATGTTCTGGTGTAAAGCTGGAATTTACTACAGTTTTTTGTTATTCTTGGAGGGCTATAGTTTTCTGCTAAGCACATTTTTACATAACACAATATTATACACAGCTGAGAGTGCAAGTGCTGACAGAAAAGCAGAGAAAGATTAAACAAAGATGACATTGATGACATTTTCAGTAGCATCTATAAAAGTTGGACCAAAACAAAGCGGGCTGATCCTTTAGAGGGGAGCGATTCAGATAAATAAGAAAAAAAAAAACAGATTTTAACAAATAAGGAGCTGAGGCTTTAAAACATCTTTATTTTACTGCACTGTGTCTGTTAAACATGCAATTGTAAAAAAAAATAATGCCAATTTTCAATTTGATACATTACTATGTGTTACATACAAAAACACTGTGAGAGGTTTTATACATGGTGGGGTCACCCCACAAAATCTCTTAAAAACTTTTCAGTTCTTTTCAGTTCACCTTCTTTTTATTTACAATTTGGTTGCCAGACGGGTGTGTGTTAGCAAGACTCTGGCGATATGATATAATACTGGTGAGACGATATATTATATTACAATACTAAAAGTCAGATTACATTGCTACTTTCAAGGCTGAATTTAAACTCGGACGCTTCTAGGGATGGGTACCTTTGACATTTGAATCGATCCAGTACTAATTCCCGGTACCTACGAATCGATACCGGTACTTAACGATACCAATTTTCAATACTTTTGAGTGTTTATTATTTTAATTCTCTTTTATAATTAAATATATATTTTTCTCAATATATAACAATATTTGATAAATATCACGATAAATAACATTCAACTGTTTGTATTTTAACATCGTCCTTGTAGTTTTATAAGCTGATAATTAAACTGAAGCAAACATATTTACTGTGTATCTTCATTCCTTTTGACGTCCTTTTTCATTTGATTTTTCCTACTGGGAAGTTAGAATTTCCGAGGAGAAAGCGAACGCACCATTAGCTGATAACAATGGTAGCAATGGAAGCTAACATACCAAGCTAACTTTATCTTTAACAGTTTATTTCGCTGCTGGAGCAGATTAAAACGATGATGCCTCACACTTAGATCGTTGTCGCTGGTTTCATTTTCACCCAATCACCCGTCGCATTTAGTGAAGTGAAGCCAAACTTTAGAGCGCGTCTAGTCTGGAATTCGGAGTTCTGAGGAGAAAGCAAACGCACCATTAGCGAAATGGAAGCTAACATATCAAGCTAACGTTATCTTAAACATTTTATTTACCTACCAGAGCAGATTAAGATGAGGATGTCTCACTTAGATCATTGTCGCTGGTTTCATCACGACCCAGTTCCCCATCACATTTAGTGAAGTGGACCCAAGCTTTAGCGTGCGTTCTTTCTACCATGCTGCTCTGTTTACAACTCGCTCGCAGCGACCGACGACATTACGCTCTTGCGCATGCACAGCTGTCTAGGCAAGTTCTCGTTATGAAGGATGGGTACCGAAACGAGGCACCGTTTGAAATGACGTGAATCGGTGCTCGGTCGGTACTATGGAATTCGGTCAGTACTTTAAAAAGTACCGAATTCGGTACCCATCCCTACTTCCAAAACACATCCAGTGTTATCACTGTACCTCATTGTTCTGTCGAAATGAAGGCGGTAAAGACTGCTGCCACCTAGCAGTCAGACTTTGAATTGTCTTACATGTTTCCAAGTACATTCTCAAGAAAATAGTCGATACACCACTTTTACAATCCATTTGGTATCAGTTCACTCTCGTCTCGTCTCGTCTCTCGTCTTCCTCCGCTTATCCGGGTCCGGGTCCGGGTCGCGGGGGCAGCATCCCAACTAGGGAGCTCCAGGCCGTCCTCTCCCCGGCCTTGTCCACCAGCTCCTCCGGCAGGACCCCAAGGCGTTCCCGGACCAGATTGGAGATGTAACTTCTCCAACGTGTCCTGGGTCGACCCGGGGGCCTTCTGCCGGCAGGACATGCCCGAAACACCTCCCCGGGGAGGCGTCCAGGAGGCATCCTGACCAGATGCCCAAACCACCTCAACTGGCTCCTTTCGATCCGGAGGAGCAGCGGTTCTACTCCGAGTCCCTCCCGAATGTCCGAGCTCCTCACCCTATCTCTAAGGCTGAGCCCGGCCACCCTACGGAGGAAACTCATTTCGGCCGCTTGTATCCGCGATCTCGTTCTTTCGGTCATTACCCAAAGCTCATGACCATAGGTGAGGATTGGGACGTAGATCGACCGGTAAATCGAGAGCCTGGCTTTCTGGCTCAGCTCCCTCTTCCCCACGACAGATCGGCTCAGCGTCCGCATCACTGCAGACGCCGAACCAATCCGCCTGTCGATCTCCCGATCCCTCCTACCCTCACTCGTGAACAAGACCCCGAGATACTTAAACTCCTCCACTTGAGGTAGGACCTCTCCCCCGACCCTGAGGTGGCAAGCCACCCTTTTCCGGTCGAGAACCATGGTCTCAGATTTGGAGGTGCTGATCCTCATCCCAGCCGCTTCACATTCGGCCGCGAACCTACCCAGCAAGAGCTGAAGGTCAGAGCTGGATGAAGCTAGGAGGACCACATCATCCGCAAAAAGCAGAGACGAGATTCTCCTGCCACCAAACTCGACACACTCCACACCACGGCTGCGTCTAGAAATTCTGTCCATAAAAGTGATGAACAGAACCGGTGACAAAGGGCAGCCCTGGCGGAGTCCAACCCTCACTGGGAACAGGTCCGACTTACTACCGGCTATGCGGACCAAACTCACGCTCCTCTGGTAAAGGGACTGAATGGCCCTTAACAGAAAGCCACCCACCCCATACTCCTGGAGCGTCCCCCACAGGGTGCCCCTGGGAACACGGTCATAAGCCTTCTCCAAATCCACAAAGCACATGTGGATTGGTTGGGCAAACTCCCATGCCCCCTCCATCACCCTTGCAAGGGTATAGAGCTGGTCCACAGTTCCACGGCCAGGACGAAAACCACATTGCTCCTCCTCTATCTGAGATTCAACTATCGATCGGACCCTCCTCTCCAGTACCTTGGAGTAGACCTTTCCAGGGAGGCTGAGGAGTGTGATCCCCCTATAGTTGGAACACACCCTCAGGTCACCCTTCTTAAAGATGGGGACCACCACCCCGGTCTGCCACTCCCTAGGAACTGCCCCCGATGACCACGCAATGTTGTAGAGACGTGTCAACCATGACAGCCCTACAACATCCATAGCCTTGAGATACCCAGGACGAACCTCATCCGCCCCCGGGGCTCCGCCGCTGTGTAGTTGTTTGACTACCTCAGCAACTTCTGCCCCCGAGATCGGACAGTCCATCCCCAGGCCTCCCAGCTCTGGTTCCTCCTCGGAATGCGCATTGGTGGGATTGAGGAGCTCCTCAAAGTATTCCTTCCACCGTCCGACTATAGCCTCAGTTGACGTCAGCAGCTCCCCATCCCCACTGTAAACAGTGTGAGCGAGTTGCTGCCTTCCTCTCCTGAGGCGCCGGACAGTTTGCCAGAACCTCTTTGGAGCCGATCGATAGTCTTTCTCCATGGCCTCACCAAACTCCTCCCACGCCCGAAATTTTGCCTCGGCAACTGCCACTGCTGCACCCCGCTTGGCTATCCGGTACCTGTCTGCTGCCTCCGGAGACCCACAGACCAGCCACGCCCTGTAGGCCTCCTTCTTCAGCCTGACGGCTCCCCGAACCTCTGGTGTCCACCAGCGGGTACGGGGGTTGCCACCACGACTGGCACCGGCCACCTTACGACCACAGCTCGCAACAGCCGCCTCGACAATCGCAGAGTGGAACAAGGCCCACTCGGACTCAATGTCCCCCACTGCTCTCGGGACGTGGTCAAAGCTCTGCCGGAGGTGGGAGTTGAAGACCGTCTTGACAGGTTCTTCTGCCAGGCGTTCCCAGCAGACCCTCACTATGCGTTTGGGTCTGCCAGGTCTACGCGGCATGTTCCCTTGCCATCTGATCCAACTCACCACCAGGTGGTGATCAGTTGACAGCTCCGCCCCTCTCTTCACTCGGGTGTCCAAAACATACGGTCGCAGGTCAGATGATACGACTACAAAATCTATCATCGACCTGTGACCTAGGCTGCCCTGGTACCAAGTGTACCGGTGGGCATCCTTATGTTCGAACATGGTGTTCGTTATGGCCAGACTGCGGCTTGCACAGAAGTCCAATAACAAAACACCGCTCGAGTTCTGATCAGGTGGGCCGTTCCTCCCAATCACACCCCTCCAGGTCAAGCTGTCATTGCCCACGTGAGCATTGAAGTCCCCCAGCAGGACAATGGAGTCCCCTGATGGAGCACTATCTAGCACTCGTCCCAGGGACTCCAAAAAGGGTGGGTACTCTGAACTGATATTTGGCCCATAAGCACAAACAACAGTCAGGACCCGTTCCCCGACCCGAAGGCGCAAGGAAGCTACCCTCTTGTCCCCCGGGGTAAACCCCAACACACAGGCAGAGAGTCTCGGGGCTAACAAAAAGCCAACCCCAGCCCTCCGCCTCTCACCCGGAGGAACTCCAGCAAAGTAGAGTGTCCAACCCCTCTCCAGGTCTCGGGTTCCAGAGCCAATGCAATGTGTCGAGGTGAGTCCGACTATATCTAGCCGGTACCGCTCAACCTCTGCCACAAGCTCCGGCTCCTTCCCCGCCAGCGAGGTGACGTTCCATGTCCCAAAAACTAGTTTCCTTGTCCGGGGATTGGACCGCCAAGGCTCCCGCCTTGGTCTGCCACCCGATTCACATTGCACCGGACCCTTCATGTTCCTCCTGCGGGTGGTGGGTCCACAGTTGGACGAGCCCATGTATCCGGTTCGGGCTGGGCCCGGCCGGGCCCCATGGGCGAAAGCCCGGCCACCAGGCGCTCGCTCACGGGCCCCAACCCCAGGCCTGGCTCCAGGGTGGGACCCCGGTAACCCTCCGGGCCGGGTACTCCGACTCTTCGTTTTCACCGCCATGAAAGATCCTTCGAACCGTTCTTTGTCTCACCCTTCACCTAAGACCAATTTGTCATGGGAGACCCTACCAGGGGCACTAAGTGCCCCAGACAACATAGCTCCTAGGATCATTAGGGCACTCAAACTCCTCCACCACGATAAGGTGACGGTTCAAGGAGGAGGGTATCAGTTCAGTTCAACTTTATTGTCTCATTTTGTTTCACAGTCAGCAGTTCATAACATTCTTACAGGACACGTAAACGAACAAAAATAAGGCTAGGTAGCTTTATTTATAAAGCACATTTCATACACAGAGGAAATTCATTGTTTTTCAAATAAAAAGTCCTCATAAGCTTGAATTAAAGACTCTGACCACAGTGGACATAAAAGATTTCCTCCCTCGCTCAGTCCGCACAGTAATGCTTTGTATCTTCAAGCTGACAAGTCAATTAACAAATAATAGGGACATGTAAGCAACAACCAGAATCTACAAGAAATTGAATGTGCGATCCAACACCAATCAATCCATTTTAAAAATTGACAAATTATAGTATATTTGTTTGTGTTAGGTATTTTTTCTGTGTTGTAGATGTAATCTACATCACTTTTTAAATGCCCCCCCCACCCCCCCCCCCTTGCATCCCCTGACCTCACCATTGAAAAAGCCTTAACCCCTACCCAGTACACCTGATCCTCTGTTATCAGTAAAAATGTTCTCTGTTGGTTCCACAAAGGGATGGGTGAAAGAATCATGTAAAGAGAGCAACATTTGAGGTTGGGTGTCCATCTGTCCGGTAAGGTGATTGATTTATGTAGAAATGGTGGAAGCAGTGGGTTAAATGGGTAAAAGAATAGCAGGAGAAGAGTAATAGATTTAAAGGGTCAGCAGAGATGTACTCTTACTAAAAGAGACTGATGTGATTTAGAATGACCCGAGAAGCTCCAAGCACAAGCAGACTCTTCACTTTAGACCACTTTATGTTTTGTGTTGTTTGTTTGGCACCTGTGGAGGGGTGAGGTTTGTTAATACAAAGAGAGTATGTAATTTATCTTTTTACTAGTATTTTACTAATTAGTAACCGCTTGAAGAAACCTTGCAGGAAGTTGTTTGTATTGCTTAAGTACATTAACCGTTTACCAAATACAAACAAATTAGGCTTTTTGTTTAGTGGTATGTCATAATAAATGTCAAACTTTTGGGATTGTTTAGATTTTATTCTACGAACATCTCTCTCTCTCTCTCTCTCTCTCTCTCTCTCTCTCTCTCTCTCTCTCTCTCTCTCTCTCTCTCTCTCTCTCTCTCTCTCTCTCTCTCTCTCTCTCTCTCTCTCTCTCTCTCTCTCTCTCTCTCTCTCTCTCTCTCTCTCTCTCTCTCTCTCTCTCTCTCTCTCGCTCTCTCTCGCTCTCACTCAAACACACACCGATTCCACATCCTGTCAGGGTTGTGATGGATTGTTCCATTGTCACAGTGAAGTTAAGGGTTTTGCAGGGTCATGGTAAAATACTGTCGTGGGATCCTGACCCTGAGAGTAACAGCGAGGTGGGTGGTCAGAAGTTTAGCTCTGGCTCTTTAGCTCAAAGTAAAAGTTGGTGTGAAGAGCTAATAGATCGGTTAGATACGAAATTGCCAAAGAAAATAAATGTATTTTTTGCGGATTTATTATTAGGGCGAAGTGAAAGAGTGGTATATTGAGTTATGTTACAATAATAATAATAGTCATTTGTAATCCTTTAAATTATGTTAAAAGCCATAAGATTTAAAAAAATCTATGGTGTCTTTCTCAAGTCAACTAAAGTGTTGGGGTTCTGCTTGAGAAACCTGACAAAAAGATATTTTTAATAATTTGTCATTTTTAAGAGGTTCTGTTTTCAATGTTTGTGTGTTTGTTCAGTTTATAAATAAATTCAGAGACTAAATGTTGTACATGTGTCATATTAAATATCAGATCACTTTGATTTAACTGGAAGAGAACTGATTCTGGACCTGCTTGACCACTTCTACAGGTGCTAAAAAAAGACAGTCAGGAGTTTGTGGCACGAAGTTACTGGGACGTTTTGAGGCGAAGCGCCAGTCAAGTCCTCTTTTCTGACCTGGCGGAGGTACACAGAACCAGTTTCATTCCTTCATTCTTCATCGTTTCATTTAGTACTTCATTTAGTTCCATTTACTTTTACTTTCAAAATAAAAGCCATAACTGTCACATGAGCATTGAAGCTATAATCTACATTTATTGTGTGTTATAATGGAGAGAAGCATTCTTTTAAAGTATAAAAATTATACTTTATTATAGTTCTGCATGATAATTGCAGAATCATAACAAATTTATTACACATCTTTTCTTATTATCCTTTCTAAATATTCAATTTATTTCTTATTTTTTACTTATTGTTATTTATGTCTGTTATAAATGTGTGTGTGTGTGCGTGCGTGCGTGTTGTGTGTGCGTGCGTGCGTGCGTGTGTGTGTGTGTGTGTGTGTGTGTGTGTGTGTGTGTGTGTGTGTGTGAGAAGAAATGTATTGCCATTTTGTTCTCTTTTCCAATAAAAAACATTTTTGTTTGAAGGAGTTTCAGAACTTCTTAAAATGAAGTCTGTTTGTACATCCTCTTCACTGTTTTCTTTTTTATTTTATTTCAATACTTATTCATCTAGAATCATCTAACCCTGATTTCATTATATTGTTTTATTCTGAATCAACAAATGCAATAATAACTGCTGAATTATTTTTGTTCCTACTACCTTATATTTATTTTATTTCTACTTTTCCCTGCCCTGACTCATCTGGCTTCTTGACTTTGCCGTATGTGTGTGTCTGTGTCAGATCATTTGCACTTTACCCCAGGAAAATGTGATATATAAAATTTGGCAGGTACAAGTCCAAGGGGTTCAAATGAAGGTAACTGGACTTGACGTTTCACTTCTCATCCGAAAAGCTTTGTCAGTTCTGACTGGAATATGGGAGAGTCAAGAAACCAAAGAAGTCCAGTTGCCTTCATTTGAACCCCTTGGGATTACCATGACCTGGATTACAGAGAACCTTCACCAGCAGACAGGTACAATTATCAGAAAGTTGAACAAAGAACACAGACACTTAAGCACCACCTGCACAAGTTTTAAAAGCATTTGGTTTGAATTCAAAACGTCTTTATTTAAGAAAAATGGCAAATGCATCACTCAGAATATTTTAAATGAAGTTATGACCTGAAATATGTTTCCTGAAAAGTTCTGTGTTCTAAATCCCAAATCTTTGCAGTTCTGCTGAAAGCTGCGTTTTGATGAAAGTGTCAAGCTACATAAGTGGTTACCTAAACCTGAACTATTGCCTGTTTTAGTGTATTGGCTGATATACAGGGTGGGCCATTTATATGGATACACCTTAATAAAATGGGAATGGTTGGCAGTGTTGGGAACGTTACTTAAAAAAAGTAATAAGTTATAGTTACTGATTACTTTGTCAAAAAGTAACTCAGTTACTAACTGAGTTACAAGATTATAAAAGTAACTAATTACCAAGAAAAATAACTACTTAGTTACTTTTTTCATTAAAGCATGCAAGAATTACTACAATAGTGAAATATAAATGACTAATGACTGGAAAATAATAAAATGTATGTCCAAATGTTTTTTATAAACCTGAATAATTTAAATAAATAAGAATTTAACAGGAGGAACTACTAACAGGAACATTACACTTATCTAGACTATTAAAAGGTCACTGTGTGTGTCATGAACTCCTCCTCTTAACCTCCTCTGCGGGCCGGGCTGGCGCTGCACTCCAGTTCCCAGCATGCCTGTCACCGACGCTTCCCGGTGACATCATCCCACTGAGCCTATTTAAGGACCTGTCACAGCGGAGCCGGCACTCAGTCATCATCTAACGATAGACGCCAAGCCATTCTAAGACCTAAGACACTAACTCTACGAACCATACGGGAAGAGAACTTCCCACGCTGCCACATATCAGTCTCCATCCACCATTCTCTCCGCGCCTGGGTCTCATAACCACTCCAGCTCAGCCCATCGAACCTGACAGGATGACTGAGTCCCGAGTAGACCCAGCGGAGATCGCACAGCTGCGAGCTGAGGTAGCGCAGTTGCTCAGCCGAGTAGAACGCCAGGAGGCGGACAACGCCCAACTCCGTGTGGAGAACAATCAGCTGCGTGCTGTTACTGATCGCCTCGCATCCAAACTCGATTCCGTCACCGAACTGGTAGTCCAACTCTCCTCAGCCCTCCAACGACAGTCATCTGCCACTCCTAACGTGGTGGAGCCGTATCTAAGTCTCCCAGAGAAATGGGATGGGATTAAAGGATCCCCGGAGAGCATGTTGGCCGTTCTGTCAATGACTTTTGAGTGTCAGCCGGCACGCTACCCGACTTCCTGCTCTCGCGTGGCTCTGTTAACCTCCCTGCTGACTGGGCGAGCCGGTGAATGGGCGGCTGCTCTGTACCATCAGAAGTCCCCAGTCTGCAACGACTATGAAGCCTTCGTGAAAGAACTGAAGAAGGCATTCGTTCATCCCAGCAGCGAGGTCGCAGATGAGACACGCCTGCTCCAGCTTCGACAAGGCTCTCAGACCGTGGCCGAATTCACCTCACGCTTCCGGACCACCGCTGCCCGTCTAACCTGGGGTGATGCCGCGGTGAAGGCTGTGTACTTGGAGGGATTGTCACCCCGCATCCGTGAGGGCATGATTGGTCACGAGGCTCCAACCACCCTGGACCAGGCGGTGGACCTGGCTCTCCAGCTGGACCGCTGCCTCCTCACCAGACCAGGAGTGAGGGCGGTTCCCGTACAATCCTGAACTTTCCCCCGCCGTCAGGAGAACCAACCCATGGAGGAACCCATGCAACTGGGTCATTTGCCCCCCGAGGAACGGGCGCGCCGTTTTCAGGAGGGACGATGCGCCTATTGTGGGGCTCTGGGTCATCCCCGTGCAACATGCCCCATACGCCCGGGAAACGGTCCCTCCGGGTCGGTGTAGGAGCTGCCTCACTCGGAGTTTCCACTCATGCAGCTCCTCATCACACCACCCTCTCGGTCTCCTTCCAGCTGAGCCAAGGACCGGTCCCCCTGGTGGCCCTCCTCGACACCGGAGCTGCAGAAAGCTTTATCGACCAGGGGTTGGTCAACCGGCTCAAGATTCCACTCACCCTCCTCGATCATCCCGTTCCCGTCACCTCAGTGGACGGGCGCCCTCTCATGCCATATCCGATCACGCACCGAACCCAGAACCTCCGGATGACCATCGGAGAACACGTAGAGACCCTTCATTTCTTGGTCATTCACGCCCCTACGACTCCTCTCATTCTGGGTCATTCCTGGTTCCGCCTCCACGACCCTCACATCTCCTGGTCCACCAGTAAAGTCATGGCATGGGGTGTTAACTGTCGCCTTCATCATCCGTCTCCAGGATCACAGCCTAGGGAGACACCACCCAAGGATGTGGATTTAACACTCCTTCCAGGATCACAGCCTAGGGAGACACCACCCAAGGACGTGGATTTAACACTCCTTCCACCCCAATACCACGATCTGGCTTGGGTCTTTGCAAAGGAGCCTACCACCAAGCTGCCTCCTCATCGCCCCTACGATCTGGAGATCAGGCTTCAGCCCGGAACCACCCCGCCTCGGGGTCGGCTGTTCTCGCTCTCCCCGGCAGAGACCCAGGCGATGGACGCTTACATCAACGAGGCTCTCCAGAAGGGGTTTATCCGACATTCCACGTCTCCTGGGGCGGCAGGGTTCTTCTTTGTGAAGAAGAAGGAAGGTGACCTCCGGCCCTGTATAGACTATCGTGGGTTGAATAAAATCACCATCAGGGACCGCCATCCTCTTCCCTTAATGAGCACGGCTCTGGACGCCACTGCCCAAGCCACACTGTTTACCAAGCTGGACCTCCGCAGTGCATACAACCTCATCCGCATAAAGGAAGGAGAGGAGTGGAAAACCGCTTTCATTACACCCACTGGACATTATGAATACCTGGTCATGCCCTTCGGCCTCTGCAACAGCCCTGCCGTTTTCCAGCGTTTCATCACTGATGTCCTCCGTGACATGCTGGGTCGTTGGGTTTTTGTTTATTTGGACGACATCCTCATCTACTCCCGCACGGCCGAGGAACACACCCAGCATGTTCGAGCCGTTCTGTCATGCCTCCTGGAGCACGACTTATTCTGTAAACTGGAGAAGTGTGCTTTTCACCAGGAGTCCACCTCGTTTCTGGGATTCATCATCTCCTCCCAGGGCCTGCGCATGGACCCACAGAAGGTTCAGGCGGTCGCGCAGTGGCCACTACCCAAGACCCTGAAGCAGTTGTAGAGTTTCCTGGGGTTCTGCAACTTCTACCGCCGGTTTATCCGCAACTTCAGCGCCCTGGCGTCACCATTAACTTCCCTGACGAAAACAACCAATCAGCCTCCCCCTTTCCGCCTCTCCCCGGAGGCCGTTGCTGCCTTCCATGAGCTGGTCCGCCGCTTTGTAAGCGAGCCCATCCTCCTCCACCCCGACCTAACACGGCCTTTCGTTGTGGAGGTGGACGCCTCTGAGACGGGCGCGGGAGCCGTACTGTCACAACGTGGCCAGGACTCCAAACTCCATCCCTGCGCATTCTTTTCCCGGAAGTTCTCTCCTACCCAGCAGAACTATGGGGTCGGGGACCGGGAATTGTTGGCGATAAAGTGGGCCCTGGAGGAGTGGCGACAGTGGCTCCTGGGTACCCCCACTCCTTTTCTAATCTGGACTGATCATCAGAACCTCATCCATATTCAGACCGCTCGCCAACTCAACCCTCGTCAGGCCCGGTGGGCCCTCTTTTTCGAACCTTATAACTTTCACATCGCCTACCGCCCCGGCTCAAAGAACCTCAAGGTGGACGCCCTGTCCCGTCAACACACCCAGGATCCAAGGCCTCCTGAACCGAGGTCCATCCTCCCGACCGAACGGTTCTTGGCCGCCCTGCAATGGCCCCTGGAAGCCTCCATCCGGGCGGCTCTCCCGGCAGACCCGGCGCCCCCAGAGACGCCTCCTAACCGCCTTTACGTTCCGGCCGTGTGTCGACAGGAGGCCTTGAGGTGGGGGCATAGTTCACGGCTCGCGG